AGTAAGGCATTTGATAAAGTAGATCACAACCTACTACTTGATAAGATAGAAAAATGTGGGTTAGACAGCATCACCACCAGATGGATCCGTAGCTGGCTGACCGGCCGTACTCAGTGTGTGGTCCTCAATGGAACCACATCTACATGGAGGGAAGTGTGTAGTGGGGTGCCCCAGGGCTCTTCAACATCTTCATCAACGATCTGGATGAGGGGATAGATGGGGAAATCATCAAATTTGCAGACGACACCAAGCTGGCAGGAATAGCCAACACTCCAGAAGACAGGCTTAGGTATGTCCTCCTAGACCTGTCTGAACTTGTGACCCGCGATAGATTGTTTTACTTTAAGTTACCACTTTTTTCATTCCAAGATGTAAATCCGTTCTTTTTGGTTTACATGTCCATATGTATAGGGGGTACCTTGCTCAATAGTAGTAACTGTGAGAGGGATCTCGGAGTCCTAGTGGACAATCACTTAGATATGAGCCAGCCGTGTGCTGCAGCTGCCAAAAAGGCCAACACAGTGCTAGGTTGCATTAACAGAGGGATGGAATCAAGATTATGTGAAGTGTTAATACCACTTTACAATGCCTTGGTAAGGCCACACTTGGAATACGGCATCCAGTTTTGGTCACCACAATGTAAAAAAGATGCTGAGACTCTAGAAAGAGTACAGAGAAGAGCAACAAAGATGATTAGGGGACTGGAGGCTAAAACATACAAGGAACAGTTGCTGGAATTGGGTATGTCTAGTTTAATGAAGAGAAGGACGAGGGGGGACATGATAGCAGTGTTCCCATATTTAAGGGGCTGCCCCAAAGAAGAGGGAGTCAAGCTATTCTCCAAGGCGCCTGAAGGCAGGACAAGAAGCAACGGATGGAAACTGATCAAGGAGAGAAGCAACCTAGAACTAAGGAGAAACTTCCTGACAATTAGAACAATTAACCAGTGGAACAACCTGCCTCCAGAAGCGGTGAATGCTCCAACACTGGAAGTTTTTAAGAGACTGGACAGCCATTTGTCTGAAATGGTACAGGGTTTCCTGCCTGAACGGGGTTGGACTAGATGACCTCCAAAATCCCTTCCAACTTTATTATTATTATTATTATTATTATTATTATTATTATTATTATTATTATTATTATTATTATTATTAATTATTATTATTATTATTATTATTATTATTATTATTATTATTATTATTATACTAGAGTATAACTGAACCCTTTACAGACTCGGGTTGGATAGATGATCTCCAATGTTCCTCTTAACTATGCCGTTTAATTTTCTGGGCTGCATAAATTGATATTTTAGACATGGCTTCTTAACTCAGAATTATGACTGAGGTCAACTTAGTACTTCTGGATAACGAATAATGAATGCATGTAGCCCTCCACTTACAACAGTTCATTTAGTGACTGTTCAGAGTTACAACAGCACTGAAAAAAATGACTTACGGCCGTTTTTCACGCTTAACGACCATTGCAGGGTCACATGATCAAAATTCAGACGCTTGGCAACTCAGATTTATGACGGTTGCAGTGTCCAGGGGTCATGTGCTCAACTTTTGCCACCTTCTGATATTGGGGAAGCCAGTTTCACTTAACAACTGCGTGACTAGCTTAGCAACTGCAGTGATTCACTTAACGACCTGTGGCAAGGAAGGTCGCAAAATAGGGCAAAACTCAATTGTCTTAATCTAACAATGATAATTTTGGGCTCAACTGTGGTTGTAAGTCAAGGACTGACTACAGGTGTTTGTGATGCTCATCTTTTTCTGCAAACTGGTAAAGGACGTTGCAGATCATGGTCACGTGACCCTGGTTGTAAAGTGGACCTGCCTGATAATTCAACCCCAGGACCGGGGGGGGGGGTTGATTGGGCTGGTCGTAAATCAAGGACTGCCTGTTATTCTGAGTGGGTCTTCCGCAATCACAGCCCAATGAAGCCTTTTCAGCCCATCTCCCTCCTTGATCAGGGGGTTGGACTAGATGATCTCCAAGGTCTTTTCCAACCCTGGGATTCTATGGTTCTTTATCGATTTGGGGAATTTGCTTTCATCGGAAGGGAAGGAAGGGAAGAGTGAAGGAAGGAGAGAGAGAGACAGGGAAGAAGGAAGGAAGGAAAGAAAAAGAAAGAAGGAAGGAAGGAAGGAAAGGTGAAGGAAGGAGAGAGGGAGACAGGGAAGAAGGAAGGAAGGAAAGAGAGGAAGGAAAGAAAGATTGAAGGAAGGAAGGCAAGGAAGGAAGGAAGGAAGAGTTTCTGCAGTTGTTTTGCAAAAGCTTTGCATTTCAGATCTTCGTCTCCGATCACCTTGCATGCTTCGGCCCAAGCTGACAATCCTGGCATAGCTGGCAACAAGCCCGGTGTTAGACAGGCTGGGCCGTGAGAAATGTTCTTGCTTGTTTGCTTGCTTCCTTTCTCTCCCTCCCTCCCTCTCTCTCTCTCTCTCTTTCTTTCATTCATTCATTCTACCTTCCTTCATTTTTCCTTCTTTATTTTCTTCCTTCTTCCTTGCTGTATCATTCTTTTTTTCTCCATCTCTTTTCCTTTCCTTCTTCACTTACTTTATTTTTTTCTCCCTTCCTTCCTTCCTTCCTTCCTTCCTTCCTTCCTTCCTTCCTCTTTCTTTATTTTCTTCTTTCCTTCCTTCCTCTATCATTCTTTTTCTCTCTATCTCTTTTCCTTCTTCACTTACTTTATTTCTCCTTCCTTCCTTCCTTCCTTCCTTCCTTCCTTCCTTCCTTCCTTCCTCTTTCTTTATTTTCTTCTTTCCTTCCTTCCTCTATCATTCTTTTTCTCTCTATCTCTTACCTTCTTCACTTACTTTATTTCTCCTTCCTTCCTTCCTTCCTTCCTTCCTTCCTTCCTTCCTTCCTTCCTTCCTTCCTTCCTTCCTGACTTTATTCTTCCTTCCCTCCCTCCTTTCTCTTAAGTGAATCCCTGCAGTTGTTAAGTGAATAACACGGTTGTTAACTGAATCCGGCTTTCCCCCGTTGACTTCGCTTCTCAGAAGATCACAAAAGGGGGTCATGTGACCCCAGGACACTGCAACCGTCATAGATAGAAGTCAGTGGCCGATTGTCTGAATTTTGATCACGTGATCCCACAACAGCTGTAACTGGTCATAAGTCACTTTTTCCAGTCCCGTTGTAACTACGAACCGTCACTAAATGTTGTAAGTCGTAGCTTTATGTTTTATCTTTTCAGTTCTACATCAGCTTTTTTTTTCACATTTTATGCTAGGCTGCTGTCATTTCTTGTGCAATTAATGGATATGCTTGCATAATCCAAGTTGGCAGCCATTTATGTTTTCAACAGATGTCTTTCTCAGTTCCCAAAAATTCCAAAAAGATTTAACAATTCTATTTGTTCAATCCAGAGCCCTAACGTTCCCTGGTTTCTCAGCCAACCCAAAAACCTCAGCTCCGAAAACAAATCAGAAAATGGGAAGGCGGTGGGTGGGGACAGAGAAGGAAATCAGAAACAAATCTTTGCAAAAACAGAAATGAAACTAGAAATGAATCTTTGCGAGAAGAGTGATCAGAAATAAATCTTTGGGAAAAGAGAAAAGAAATCAGAAACAAAGTCTTTGCCAAAAGAGAAATGAAATCAGAAATAAATATCTGCCAAAAGAGAGAGAGAGAGAGATCAGAAGTAAATTTTGCAAAAATGGAAATCAGAAATAAATCTTTTTGGCAAAAGAGAAACCAGGAATAAATCTCTGTAAAAAAAAAAAGAGAGAGAGAGAGACATCAGAAATAAATCTGCAAAAAGATAAATCGGAAATAATTGTTTTGCCACGAGATCAGAAATAAATGTTTGCAAAAAGAGAAATGAAATTAGAAATAAATCTCTGCAAAGAGATCAAAAATATTTTTTTTTGCAAAAAGAAAAATGAAATCAGAAGTAAATCTTTGCAAAAAAAAAAAAAAACCCCCTTTGGTGTCATATTTACGACGGTCGCAGTGTCCCTGGGGTCACGTGATCCCTTTTTGTGACCTTCTGACAAGCAAAGTCAATGGGGAAGCCAGATTCACTTAACAACTGTGTTACTATCTTAACAACTGCAGGGATTCACTTAATAACTGTGGCAAGAAAGGCCGTAAAATGGGGGCAGAACTCACTTAGCAACAGAAATTTTGGGCTCATTCATGGTCGTAAGTTGAGGACTACCTGTAATAAGATTAGAGATGGCTTGGCTGCAGTTTCTCAGTCTTGGCAACTAAAAGAGAGGTGCCCAAATTATGAACACTTGACCCTGGGGATACTGCAAGAGCTGTAATTGCAGTTTAAGTCACCCCTTTTCAGTGCTGTTGTAACTATGAATGGTTGCTAAATGAATGGTTATAAGTGGAGGGTGTCCTGTGGATGGAGAAACTGTGCTACCAAGGTAGGTCACGGGCTTTGGTCACTAAGCAGCACCTGAAATTTGATGGGCTCAGACTGTTTCCAAGGAGGGTTGAGATGATCTCCAATGTTGCTTTAACTTGCTTTTTCTTTCTTTCTCTCTTTCTTTCCTTTCTTCCACCCTCCCTCCAACCATCTCTTTTTCTCTGTGTTTCTTTTCCTTCCTTCCTTCTTTCTTCCTTCCTCCCTCTGTCCCATCATCCTTCCTTCCATCTTCCCTTCCTCCTTTCCCTCCATCACTCCTCCCTCCCTTCCTCCTTTCCTTCCTTTCTTCTCCCTCCCTCCCTTCCATCATCCTTCCTTCCATCTTCCCTTCCTCCCCTCCATCACCCCTTCCTCCCTCCCTCCCTCCCTCCCTTCCATCATCCTTCCTTCCATTTTCNCTTTCCCCTCCATCAACTTCCTCCCTCCCTCCCTTCCTCCCTCCCTCCCTTCCATATTCCCTTCCTCCTTCCCCTCCATCACCCCTCCCTCCCTTCCTTCCCTCCATCCCTTCCTTCCTTCCTTTCTCTCTCCCTCCCTTTAGCTGATAGTTGAAAAGACAGCTGACCAGCCAGCTCCCGAGTACTCCCTGGTAGAAGATGCTGCCCTCCACTTCACGTGTTTGATGGACAGGCTGAACGAGCAGCGCCTCTTCCAGCCTGACCTGTGCGACGTGGACCTTGTCCTGGTAGAGCAGAAGACCGTCTTCCCGGCCCACAAGGGGGTCCTGGCAGCCTACAGCCAGTTCTTTCACTCCCTCTTCACCCAGAACAAGCAGCTCCAGAGAGCGGAGCTTTCTCTGGAGGCCTTGACCTCCGTTGGGCTTCAACAGATTTTGAACTTCATCTATACTTCGAAGCTCTTGGTCAACGCCTCCAACATTCAGGATGTCCTGAATGTGGCCTCCGTCTTGCAGATGACCGACATTGCTTCCTCCTGTCAGGAACTCATCACCACCAGAGCTCTCGGCTTGGCCATGACCAACAATATGGCGTTGACTTCGGACAATTGTAGCAAAGCCACCCCACCTTCTCAGTTCTTCTGTGACATCAAGCAAGAAATGGACCCTCCACGCCCTAAGATCTTCACCCGAGAAGGGAACGTCCCATATTCTGTGCGGGTGGAAGATGGCAACCAAAATCAGCCTCCTGTGCCCAGCAAGACATTCTACAAGGAAGAGAACCATGGTGGTCCACCTGTCTGCAAGGTGGAAGGGGACGCGTCTGAGGCTCTCCCGGGCAGCCGAGGTTCCTACAGCCATGGTGAGCAGATCATTGTAGAGGTCAACCTTAACAACCAGACCCTCAATGTCTCTAAAGGTGCAGAGGGACAGCCTTCAGTGGGCAGCCAAGTGGCTACAGAAGCTGGACGGCCAGAAGGGGAAGGATGTTCCTCGGTGGTGGACCAAGAGCAGGAAAACGGGGGCAAGGAAGATGAAGATGACGATGCAGATATGGGCGATGAAGATGAGCGCTCGGAAGAGGAAGACCTGGAAGAGGAGGACACCTCGGAAGAGGAGGAAGAAGAGGAGGAAGAAGAAGAGGAGGAGGAGGAAGAGGAGGACAGAGGGGACAATGACAGTAACGTAACTGAGATTCGCGGGGAGAAAACTGGAGCACCCCAGAGGACTAGGCTGCTTGCCAAGGTCACCAACCCAACCACGTCCCCCAAAACTGGTGAAGTTAACACCATGATGGAAGAAGGAGAGGAGGGAGAGGATGAAGATGAAGTTGCTGAGAATGACAGCAAGGTCAAGAGAGCTAAGAAGCAGAAGAAGGACCAGGATCCTCCTGGTCAGAAGGTCAAGCTGGAGGAGAAGCAACATTATCCGTGCAAGAAGTGTCCCCGGGTGTTCAACAACCGCTGGTACTTGGAGAAGCACATGAACGTCACGCACACCCGCATGCAGATCTGCGACAAGTGTGGCAAGAGGTTCCTGCTGGAGAGCGAGCTGGTCTTGCACCATCAGACGGACTGCGAGAAGAACATTCAGGTGAGGGGGCCCTGGCGCCATCTTAAGGCTTCCTTTCTCCTTCAACCTGGCGCCCTCGAGGTCTTGGTGGGAGCTGATGTGCTGGTTGCATAGGTAGCCCTCAACTTACAACATTTAGTGACCGTTCAGAGTTACAAACAGCACTGAAAAAAATGACCCAGGACCGTTTTTCACACAATAGTTGCAACATCCTCCACGCTCACGTGACGTTTGGCAGCTGACTCATATTTATGACGGTCACAGATCCCCTTTTTCTACATCCTGACAAGCAAAGTCAACGGGGAAGGCCAGATTCACTTAGCAACTGTGTGACTAACTTAACAACTGCAGTGATTCATGTAATAACTGCGGCAAGAAAGGTTGTAAAATGAAGCAAAACCCATTTAACGAAATGTCTCACTTAATAACAGAATTTTTTATTTAAGTTAGTAACACGGTCGTTAAGTGAATCTGGCTTTCCCCATTGACTTTGCTGGTCAGAAGGTCACAAAAGGGGATCACATGACCCCGGGGACACTGCAACCATCATAAATACGAGTCAGTTGCCAAACGTCCCAAATTTTGATCACGCGACCATGGAGAGGCTACAACGGTACAAGTGTGAAAAAATGGTCATAAGTCACTTTTTTGGTTGTCAATGTCTTCTATAGCATTGTTCTTCCCTGTTGTAAATCTGGAGTAACTGTTTCTATAGGCATCTCAAAATCACTGGAGAAGAAAGGGGATAATTGTGTACAGGTAGTCCTCGATTTGATCACGTGACCACGGGGATGCTGCAGTGATCATAAGTCTCTTTTTTCAATGAGGTTGTAACCTCGAACGGTCACTGAATGAACTGTTACAAGTTGAGGACTGCCTGTATTTTGTCACTCAGAGCAATTGTTGTTTTGTCTTTCTTGTAACTGTTTTAATTTTCCCTGAATGCGCAACCGGGAGATGTGGTATCTAGCAAAATTTCACTTTGGTTTAGTGTAGGCCACCTTGGCTCTTTTATGACTCATGGACTTCAACTCCCAGAATTCCTGAGCCAGCATGGCTCAGCTTGGAAACCTCTCCCTTTCTCCTCAGCATGGCTGGCTCAGGAATTCTGGGAGTTGAAGTCCACGAGTCATAAAAGAGCCAAGGTGGCCTACCCCTGGTTTAGGCCATGGAATGATCCGTATCAAGAATCTGGGATCGAGTTTAGCCGTGGCTTCTGAGTCAGTTCCCAGTTGAGAAGGACAAGTAAATCCGTGTGTGTTGTGGGTCAGAGCTGTGCGGTTCAGTGTTGTGACCCAGATTATGAATCTGCCATTTCAGTCTGAATTTCTTCCAAAGGGATGCTTTCGTGTTTATCTCTCTCTCTCTCTCTCTCTCTCTCTCTCTCTGTGTGTGTGTTTGTGTGTGTGTGTGTAGCCTGTGTGTGTGTGTAGCCTGCAGCGCCAGCAAGTGGTCGAAAGCAATATTGCAGGGAGAAAAAGCAAGAATTTTTCTGAAATTTAATTCTGGATCAGTAATAAGAAAAGCCATGGTTTTTGCTGTAGTTTTTAAGCAAATCATTGCAGTTTTTATATGAATTCAGCAGTCATTTAGTGAACCTGGCTTCTCCCATTGACTTTGCTTGTCAGAAAGACACAAAAGGAGATCACGTGACCCCCGGGAGACTGCGACCCTTATAAACACATGCCCATTGCCAAGCTCCTGAATTTTGATCACATGACATAGGCCAGGGCTAGGCAACTTTGGCTCTTTTATGACTCGTGGACTTCAACTCCCAGAATTCCTCAGCCGGCATGGCTCAGCTTGGAAACCTCTCCCTTTCCCCTCAGCGTGGCTGGCTCAGGAATTCTGGGAGTTGAAGTCCACGAGTCATGAAGGGGGTCAAAGTTTCCCCCATGCTGGCTTAGGAATTCTGGGAGTTGAAGTCCACGAGTCGTAAAAGAGCCAAGGTGGCCTACCCCTGACATAGGGGATGCTGCAACAGTTGTAAGTGTGAGGACAAGTTGTGAATCACTTTTTCAGGGCCGTTATATGGTCACTAAAGGACTGATGTAAGTCAAGGACTATCTATAGAAGGAGAGAAGCTAGAACGGTAATTCTCAATCTTGGGAACTTTAAGAGAGGTGGACTTCAACTCCCAGAATTCCCCAGCCAACTAGCTTGCTGGCTGGGGAATTCTGGGATTTGAAGTCCACCTCTCTTAAAGTGACCCAAGTTCAAAAAGCTGAAATAATCAGGGTGATTGATCCAAGTAATATTGGCAACCAGTTGATAGTCCAACATAGATAAGAATAAGTCTGAAGAAGAAAGTTTAATCATGTACAAGCAGTCCTCGACTTATAACCATTTGTTTGGTGACCATTCAAAGTTACAACAGCACTGAAAAAGGGACTTAGGACCGTTTTTCACACTTACGACCGTTGCAGCATCTCATCGTCACGTGATCAAAATTCAGATGCTTGGCAACTGACTCGTATTTATGACGGTTGCAGTGCCCCGGATTCCCTTTTGTGACTTTCTGACAAGCAAAGTCAACATAACCATGGAGATATTCAGTCATCCAGGTCATAGTTATCCCAAAGATGCTTTTTCAGGAGGCAACTGGACTTTCTTGTTTTTTCTTTGAAGACGTTTCGCTTCTCATCCCAGAAGCTTCTTTAGCTCTGATTTGATGGTGGGGAATGGAAGGACTTACACTCCTTGCAGACAGCTGGTCATTTGCCTTCTTTGAGAGAGTCGTTGAGGCCACCTGGAGGTTTAATCTGTGTCCTCAGGGTCTCCTGAGTGGTGCAAATGGGTGTGGAGCCTTCTTGGAACTGCTGAAAGGACTGTGTTGTAGACTGGGTATAGCTGATGTCGTATCCTTCCCCCTCTGTTGAGAGAGGGTGGTTCAGTTTTGACCTAGATGGCCTCTTTGACCCCTCTTTCAAACCAGTGATCCTCTCTGTCCAAAATGTGGACTTTGCTGTCTTCGAAAGAGCGGCCTGTGTCTTTTAAATGCAGATGGACTGCTGAATCTTCTCCTGATGGGTTTGCTCTCCTATGTTTGTGCCAGGCGTTTGTGAAGTGGTTGTTTTGTTTCCCCATAAAAAGTCGAGGACTACCTGTATAAGCTTGGAAGAGAAATGGATTTTAATGTCAACTCTTATCATATTAAAACTGGAAGTCATAGATTTGCAGCCTGACAGAGGTGGTCTTCTTCCTTGCAGTGCATGACTTGTGGGAAGGTTTTTAAGAAGCTCTGGTCCCTTCATGAGCACAACAAAATTGTCCACAATTACGCCGAGAAGAAATTCTCCTGCGAGATCTGTGAGAAGAGGTTCTACACAATGGCACACGTGCGGAAACACATGGTTGGTGAGTAGGGTGGGGAATGCATGGAGAAGGGCAGGACTGGAGACCTAAGGACCACCTAGAACGGGTGGGGGAACCATGGCCCTTTTATGACTTATGGACTTCAACTCCCAGAATTCCTCAGCCAGCCATGATTAGTGTGGCTGGCTGAGGAATTCTGGGAATTGAAGTCCAGAAGTCTTAAAAGGGCAATGGTTCCCCACCCCTAATGCAGAAGCCATCCGATTCCATTTCCTTTCAGTTGCAACCCATACAGGTAGTCCTCGACTTATGACTGGTCACTTTGAAGTTACGACCAATAAAAAAAAAAGACTTAAAACTGATTTAGACTTAGGATGGCCAGGCCTCCTTCTTCCATCATGTGAGCAAACTTGTGCTTGGCAACATGGCTGTCTTTTAGGACATTTTTGCCAAAACCCACAACTTACGTTCTTTGTTCAGCAAAACTGTGTCCATAGCAGACTGCTGATTCACTTAATGACCGCAGTGTTCATTTAATGATCGCAGCATTCACTTAATGACCGCTGTGTTCACTTTACAATAGCCACATTCGCTTAAAAGCCGCTGCAAAAGATGTTGTGGAATCAACTCATTTTACGACCGTCACAATATATGACTGTAATGGGCAGGCCTCGTTACGGTTGTATATAGAGGAGTACCTGTATGTCCAGCTGTATGTCATGAATGGGTGGAAGTTGTGTCTAACAACTTCTGGAAAAATAAAAATCCCCAATTGCCCCCAACCAGCTGAGTCTCTGGAAGTGATCCTTGGTATGACAAATTGTGACAATTAATATTATTCCAGTTGTGCTCTCCTAATGTGATTGTGTTAGATCTCTAACTGCACTTCAATTCCAAATTAAGTTGCCCATAAGTGTCATAAGATGTTTCTAGATGGTTGTCTTTCCAAAGCTTCGGTAGATGCCAAGTTGAAGACATCTGTGTTCCTTCAAGACATTCGGTCCCTGTAATTGAATTAAAATATAACTTCTGGAGTCCTTGGTGGTTTCTGAAGTTCGTTGTTTTCTTGCAGACGTTTCATTACCAAATCTTACCAGCCAGTGCACTGATGATGTTACCTAGTTGGGTCATAAAACACCTGCAAGTAAACAACCAATCTCAGAGAGCACCAAGAATCCTCCTCCTCCTCCTCCTCCTCCTCCTTCTCCTCCTCCTCCTCCTCCTCCTCTCCATAAACCTCCCTCCCTTCTAGCAGTGATGATGTTACCTAGTTGGGTCATGAAACATCTGCAAGTAAACAACCAATCTCAAAGAGCACCAAGAGTCACACAGTCCTCCTCCTCCTCCTCCTCCTCCTTCTCTCCATAAACCCCCCTCCCTTCTAGTAGTGATGATGTTACCTAGTTGGGTCATGGAACATCTGCAAGAAAACAACCAAGCTCAGAGAACACCAAGGACCCCATTCTCCTCCTCCTCCTCCTCCCAACCCTGAGCTACAAATATTCTGTTCTATCAGGAAAACGTGAGCCCCGTTGTCTACCATGCATTTCTTTGAGCTGGGCCCACCTGATCAGAAGCGTAAAGATCCCACAAAAATGTAGGTGTGCTTTCTCGCTAGAGCTGTTTCCATTTTAGTCTCCACCATAGGAACCCTTATCCACGTGGAAATGAAGTTCAAGATTTCATTTTTTTATCAGGGGTCAAGACGGCTTCCCTCCTCCAGAAGTTGTGGGTGCTCCATCACTGGAGGTTTTGAAGAAGAGATTGGACAGCCGTTTGTCCAGGATGGTATAAGGTCTTCCTGCTCAAGCTGGGGGTTGGACTAGAAGACCTCCAAAGTCCCTACCAACTCTGACTCTCTCCGTGTTGTGTCATTTCCCAAACTGAGTTGGCTGTTGGTCTTATTCTGGGGTCCATCCTCCTTTGTGGCCTCTCCCAGCAGAGATGGCCTCAGGGCCTGTGTCTTAAGCCAAGCCAACCATGTAGCTGGGCTCAGCCTATCCAGAAGTCTTTAGAACGGCGCCCCCCAACTTTGGGGCACCAGGGACCGGTTCCATGGAGACAGGCAGGCGTGGTTTTGTGTGCTGCCTGCATCCCGCGGATAGGGCTTTGCTTGTTTGCACGGACCGGTTTCTGGCGGGCTGTGGACCGGTGCCGGGCCACAGACCGGGGGTTGGAGACCCCTGCTTTAGAAGACAACCCTGATTTTTCTTTGCTTTTAGCTCATACCAAGGACATGCCGTTCACCTGCGAGACGTGTGGGAAGTCCTTCAAACGCAGCATGTCTCTGAAAGTCCATTCTCTGCAGCACTCCGGCGAGAAGCCGTTCAAATGCGAGGTGAGGATCCACCCTTTAAAGCCCTGTCCATTTCCTGAGATCTGGGAGAACGTCCTTGATAGGATTAGTAAAGCCCAACTTCACAGGTAGTCCTCGACCTACAGCCGTTCATTTAGCGACTGTTCGTCGTTAAAACGGCCCTGGAAAAAGGGACTTAGGACCGTTTTTCACACTTACGACCGTCACAGTGTCCTTACATGATCAAAATTCAGACGCTTGGCAACTGATGGTTGCAGTGTCCCAGGGGGTCACGTGATCCCCTTTTGCGACCGTCTGACAAGCAGAGTCAATGGGGAAACCCAAATTCATTTAACAACTGTGTGCCTAACTTAACAATTGCAGTGATTCACTTAACAACGGTGGCAGGAAAGGTCATAAAATGGGACAGTTTTAGCTTGAAAACTGTCTCCCTTAGCAACAGAAATGTTGGACTCTGATGCGGTTGTAAGCCGAGGACTACCCGTATGTCAAACTCTACCATAAGGCATAGGAGATTTTTCTTGTTTATACCCAAATGACATCTGATCCGTCCCTCTCTGCATTTCTCTTCAAAAAAAAGTCATATGCGTAATCGCGGATAACAATGAATGCCTATGTGCGAAAGTCCTTGACTAACAACCATTGGTCTAGCACAGTGGTGGCGAACCTATGGCATGCGTGCCTCGCTCTTTGGCTAAGTTTTCGCAGGAAAAAGTCATTTCTCAAGCCCCTTCCTAGCCAAAACAAGCCTCCGGAGTGAGCGTGCTGTTTTCAGCTTTGAATTATATCAAATCTGACACCAGAAACAGACTAACAGATGACCTGAGTGCTGCATGTGTTGCTCTCAAACTTACAAAGTATGAGCCAAGGCTAGACAAATTATCAGCATGCATACAACAGCAAAAATCACATTAATTGTTCAAAAGCATGCCAAATGCAGACTTTTACCTTTCAATAAAAAAGTTGTTTGTATCATTGAAAGCTTTGTTATTGTATTTTTCTTGTAAGACAAAAGATGTTAATGTATTACCGGTAGTTTTTTTTTTTTTCCTAAACTAAAACCTCAGTATTCAGGTTAAATTGCCGTGTTGCCACTTAGCGATAAATAAGTGGGTTTTGGGTTGCAGTTTGGGCACTCGGTCTCTAAAAGGTTCGCCATCACTGGTCTAGCAACAACAGCACTGAAAAAAAATGACTTACTTACAGTCGATCCTCACACTTACGACCTTTGCAGCATCCCCAGGAACCCCTGATCACAATCTGAGTGCTTGGTAACCCCCGTGTGTATTTACGAAAGTGTCCTTTGCGAACTTTCCGACAAGCAAAACCAATGGGGGAACCCAGATTTGCTTAACAACCCTGTACTTCGCTTTACAACGGCGGTGACTCCCTTAATATTTTATTTATTTTCTAATTTTACACTTAGTTGAAAATAAGGATTCTATTTGTTTATTATTTAAAAATTAGCCCCCCCCCAAAAAAAATACGAATATATTTGATTTATTGATTAACCCAGACCATATATATATAATAGTTTTGATTTATTAAAGGGGATACTGTATTATTAATTAGATGATTTAATATGGTGGGAAAGAGATAACTTTTAGGAAACAAAACAAGACTATACTCAAATAGATAAGATGTGTATTTGGGAATATTAGATTCTGTTATGAATTGAGATAAGGGAAACTTCGGTTACCTAAAGCCTGGAAATTATAAATATCAAATGTTAAATTTGAATATTGATGGGAAACTGAAAATTGGGAAAAATCAATAACAGGACATTGATTGTCCATAAAGATTGATTGTAAAAGTAATTAAGGTATGTATAAGCTAAAATTTATTGATAAATGTAATAATGATGTTTTACTTAGTTGGTATAATAAGAACTGTATTAGCTTAAATACGAGATTAAGGGGAAAAGAGGAAATATTTGATGTTATAACTTGAGATTTGTACAAAAGATTTTTGTAGGTTATTGAACTATTGATTGACCCAGTCACCATGTTGCTTTTTAAATACCTAAATGACCCCCTGGCCAAAAGGTCGTAAAATGGGGCGTGACTCACTTAACGGCCTGGCTTAGCCATGAAATTGTTGGGCTCAATTGTGCTTCTAAGTTGAGCAGTATCACATTTGCAAATCACAGGAATGGCCTATCAAAGCGTTTAATGTTTTGTGCCTTAACCTGGATTTTCAGAGGTAAAAGGTGAGATTTTCTATCCATAATGTAGTTTCTCATTTATTTCTCTTTAGCATTAAGTAGTCCTCGACTTAACAATCATAATTGCACTATTGCAATTATAATTACTACCGGTTGCGTGTAGGTTACCAGGAAATGCCTGTTTTCTACATTCATCCACTGATGTGTTTCTTTCTTTCTTTCTTTCTTTCTTTCTTTCTTTCTTTCTTTCTTTCTTTCTTTTTTTCTTTCTTTCTTGATTCCTTCCTTGCCTTCGTTCAATCTTTCTTTTTTTTTCTTTCTTTCTTTTTTTCTTTCTTTCTTTCTTTCTTCCTTCCTTCCTCCCTGCCTTCCTTGCCTTCCTTCTTTCCTTCCTTCCTTCCTTCAATCTTTCTTCCTTCCTTCCTTCAATCCCTCTTCCTTCCTTCCTTCCTTCCTTCCTTCCTTTCTTCTTTCCTTTCTTCCTTCCTTCCTTCCTTCTTCAATCTTTCTTCCATCCTTCCTTCCTTCAATCCCTCTTCCTTCCTTCCTTTCTTTTCTTTCTTTCTTTCTTTCTTTCTTTCTTTCTTCCTTCCTTCCTTCCTTCCTTCCTTCCTTCCTTCAATCCCTCTTCCTTCCTTTCTTCCTTCCTTCAATCTTTCTTTCCTTTCTTTTTCTTTTTTCTTTCTTTCCCTCTTTCTTTCCCTTTCTCTATCTCTTTCCTTCTCTTTTTTTAACCTTTCTCTTTCACGAATCCACCCAGAATTGCAATGAGCGGTTCCAGTACAAATACCAGCTGCGTTCCCACATGAGTATCCACATCGGCCACAAGCAGTTCATGTGCCAGTGGTGTGGCAAAGACTTCAACATGAAGCAGTATTTTGATGAGCACATGAAAACACACACAGGTGAGACCGTGTTATTCCCGCCTCCTTAACCTACCTCAGTTTTTCTGCTTTTTCCTGTTTATACCTGGAAGAGCCAGCGACTCGTTGGTGCAACCTGGCTGGTTGATCCAGCATTTGTGAATGCTCACGTTCAGACTGGATGTGGGTCTCAAGGCAAACGCAGCTCAGAAGCCCAAGTCACACAAGTGCTCGACTTATGACCCCAATTCAGCCCCAGGTTTCTGTCGCTAAAAGAGACAGTTGTTAAGTGAGTGTTGCCACAGTTGTTAAGTGAACCCACTTCAGTTGTTACGTTAGTAACACAGCTGTGAAGTGAACTTGGCTTCCCCATTGACTTTGCTTGTCTGACGGTCGCAGAAACAGGATCACACTTAACAAATGTGGCATTTGTTAAGGTTGCAAAATGGGGCAAAACTCACATAACAACTATCTTACTTAGCAACCGGGATTTGGGACTTGGTTGTGATCGTACGTCCATGGCTACCTGTATATCACATTGATTCACACAGAAGAACAGAGTTGGAAGAGACCCTGGAGGTCATCTAGTCCACCAATCTTTGTGGCTTGGCTGAGGGGTGGGGGGGAAAGGAACGAGGCTTCACCTGTGGCAGGCTGACATGCATGCCCACGCACCTCCACTCGTGTGAGCAGCAGCCCAGTACACATGCGTATGCTGAGGGGAAAGGGAGAGGTTTCAAGCGGAGCCATGCTGGCTCAGGAATTCTGGGAGTTGAAGTCCACCAGTCATGAGGGGGCCAAGGTGGCCTACCCCTGCCCTAGGCCATTAGAGACAAATGATTGTCCAGTTTCTCCTTAAAAACCTCCAGTGTTGGAGCATTCACAACTACTTAAAGACAAGAGTAATTGTTCTCATTGTCAGGAAGTTTCTCCTTAGTTCCAGGTTGCTTCTCTCCTTGGTTAGTTTCCATCCATTGTTCTGCCTTCTGGGGCTTTGGAGAAGAGGTGGACCCCCTCTTTTTCCTGGCAGCCCTTTAGATATTGGAATGCTTCTTATGCCAACCTCTGGGTCCCATCCTAAACCACCTCTGACTCGGTTTCCTACTTCTCTCCTTAAAAATCGGTTCTGATCCAAAGGTGACCATTTTAAGAAAACATCTCTGAGTCTCTGTCCTTTGTGTCCTGCTTCTCCAGGTGAAAAACCATACATCTGTGAGATCTGTGGGAAGAGCTTCACCAGTCGCCCCAACATGAAACGCCACCGGCGGACACACACCGGAGAGAAGCCCTACCCTTGCGACGTCTGCGGTCAACGGTTCCGGTTCTCCAACATGCTCAAGGCGCACAAGGAGAAGTGTTTCCGAGTCAGCAACTCACCGGCTGCAGATCCCAACCGAGATTCAAATTCTCTTGGTCTCCTCACTTCTCCAAACGCCAACTCAACGCTTTTGACTGCTGGTGTTCCTCTCCATTCGACCTCACCTTCCCACGTGCTTCCTTTGCCTATCAGACATCCTTATGCACACCCCATAACTCCTCCTCCTCCTCCTCCTCTTCTACCCCCACCACCAGCTCTTTTCCCCGGTAGCAGATTGAACGTGGACAACTAGACTTCAATCAACGTCTGGTGCATGAAACTTGCCTCGTAATTCTGAAGGATTCCCCAATGCCATTGATTGTGGTGGGTTTGTGATGAACGGGCATCGTGTTTGGGTTTAGTTTGAGGGACCTGAGGTTCTTGCTTCTTCAACGGAAGCATCCAGAACTTTGAGATCTTCAATAGAAGCATCTAGACTCTAGAACCTTGAGATTATGGTTGCTACTCAAGCCATGAAGATAACGTTGTTGATCTGTTTGCTCATGGAAAAAGTCAGCCCAGTTTTGCTTGACCTGCTCTTCTGAGATGCTTCCAACTCCTATAGCCAGAGAAGAAACTGAGGAGTTATTTCTTGACTCTGAAGACCTCGAGAAGATGCCTTGATAGAGCTTACAAGGTAGGAAGACACAGGCAAGGACTTTCCGAACTTATCTGGTCAGATATGAGTTTGGAGGAATCAGAAGCAGATGGTTTCTCTTGGAGGTTGAAATGGGAGATGCCTTCACCCAAGTCAAGAAGGTTGGAAGGGAGCACTTCAGCTTTTTAATGGACCTCTGAATGGAAATGGAGAAATATGGAAACCTTGCTTCATGGAACTGAAAGGAAATGGCAAGATGTGGACAGTCAAACTGTCCTTGGTGTGAGAAAGTGGATTCTCAAGTGTGTGACAGCTTCTTCCAAGGTCAGCTTCTCGTTCATTTGCTCTTGCCTATGCTTTGGTACAACTTTCTGTTTTTCAACTTCTGTAGCTTGAAGCTCAGCTGGCCTCTTCCGAAGGTGATATCACTAAAGATGAAATTCTTCCCTCACTAATAGTCCCTTGAAAACAGTAGGACCCCTTTCCTTGATTACCATCAAGGCTTAAATCCAGCATCTTTACGTATTATGGAATCCTCATGCAGCCTAGACACCATAACTAAGTCTATAAATTTTGATTTCTACTCTACACCTACTATTCTTGAGGAGAGTGCACTTCCTGAAGAACCTCTTCTAAAATTAACATTACCTTCTCTGCAAGCTCTGTGGAGGAAGAAGACGTTGAGCTTTTAAAGACATTTTTAAACATGAAGCGTTGGTTCCTTTAACTTCTGTTTTTGTTTTTTGCACTTTATTATCTAATCCTAAGAGCTCTTTTGCAATGGGATCTTTGTGAGTTCTTCTAGAACAGGGGTAGTCAACCTTGGCTCTTTTATGACTTGTGGACTTCAATTCCCAGAATTATCAGGAATTCTGGGAGTTGAAGTCCACGAGTCATAAAAGAGCCAAGGTTGACTACCCCTGTTCTAGAAGAACAGAACTCGGGGGCGTCGTTGGTTGAGTTGTTCTACAGTTGTCTTTTCATTTCCAAGGCAAAGACCCCCCAAGGCAAAATGGGCCATGTTTCAAAGATTGACCCATTGTGTGGTAGAGACGCACGCCGTAAGTGTTTCACAGGAGAAAGATGTTCCTTGATCCGACGTTCGCATCTTTGGTGAAGTTTGATGGATTCTCTTTGACGAGAAGATCTAAGAACTTTGTTGGTTGGTGTGTATGTCCATATGAGCAGGGCTGGCCCCTGGAACAACCACCACAATGCACAAACGGACAAGGAAATCTGCGGAAAGGCTGTGACGTCAGCAAATGTGCAATAACAATGAACTGGTGGACAAAAGACACATATTGATTGTGGTTTATTGTCTTATCTAGTCCTTCCTGACCAAACTCTTAAAATGATGGTTAAGATTAGAAAGAAAGACTCTTAACATTCTTTGAAGCTTCTCTACAGATAATCCTCAGCTTATGACCACAATTGAGATGTCCATTGTTGAGCAATGCGGTCGTTCAGCCGCATCTAATTTGACAGCCGTTTTTTGCCACGATTGTTAAACGAGTCAGGCGGTCGTTAAATGAATTGCATGGTTGTTGAGTGAATCTGGCTTGCTCCACTGATCTTGCTTGTCAGAATCCGTCTGGGAAAGCTGCAAATGGCGATCACATGATCCCGGAATCCTGCAACCATCCTAAAAGTATATGCCAGTTATGTGAATTTTGATCAGATGACTATCGACAGTCGTAAGTGCGAGGACCGATGGTAACTATTTTTTTAATACTGTCAAATGGTAATGAAAGGAATGGTCGTAAGTTGAGGAATATCTATAATATATTTAGGAAGGAAGGAAGGAAGGGATGGAAGGAAAGAAGGAAGGAAGGAAGGAAGGAAGGAAGTCCAACTAATTTTATGAATGCCTGCTATTTGACCACCTAATATTTTTATGGCATTTATTATCTACTGCCCAGTTATCCATAAAAAGAAAAAATAACGCTCACCAATAAATCTTAGTATTGGAAACAAAAAATACTTTATAACAAAGCACTTTATTCTGTATAGATCTATGGAAGGGGAAATCTGAGATCCCTTTTTTTTTTTAGCGCATCTTAAGAATTCCTGTTGAAAAAACATTGCAGCGTTCCTCTTAAGCGTCTCTATATATATGTTTTTAGCAGCTGGAGGAAGGTTTTTCCACAATCCTGGTCATCACACTAATGGGTGTCCACTTTCAAACAGGTGGGGGGCATGCAAGTAGTCCTCAAGTTAAGACCAGAATGGAGCTGTCCAAATGTAGGGCATTTTTTTTTAGCTTTATTGCGGTGTCATTAAATGAACGCTGCCATTACCAAGCAAATATATTGTTTCCTATAGTTATGGTTTTGCTGAAAACCGTAGTAAGTGGTGCTTTACAAAACCCATTGTAAAACATCACGTGCCTGCTGGATATTGCCGAGTGCCCAGAATTCAGTCATGTGACCTTGGAGAAGTGTCGGAACATAGAAACTGGGCCTTAATCCGCTTTTTGGGGGTCTGTCATAACTTCAGAGGTTCACTAAGTAACCAGTAGTAACTCGAGGATTAGCTATATTTTATAGTGCTCTCAGAAGCAAGGAGCATCAGGAGAAAGGTTTAGGAATAGATCTGAATCAATATACTTACAGTAGGATAATTAACCTCTCTTCCCCAGAAATCTTCCTCTGTAAATGTACTAGATTCGCACACGATCCTCTTCTACGCACCAAAATACCCTTTAAGTGGCAAAGGGGAGGGAGCAGTTGCTTACCTAAACATATTTCAGGCTGCTTCTCATTCTTGTGGCCCGTAGTTCCCTATGCCCTTCTCCGAATGGATGAAATTAAGCGTTTGAAATTCCTGCCAAGTTGCTAGTCCTCTTGAGACTCATGCTTGCTGAGTTTTGAAGGAGATCTGACTTGAGTTAGCTGTTTGTGGGACGTGTATCTGCCCTTCTGCACGTAACGAGGTGTGTGTGTGTGTTTTGCACTAGTGATAAGATTTCACGAGAATTGTACTCAGTGCTCCCTTCCTGAAAATGGGTTCAGCACCTGCCACCCCAGGTGCTGGCAATGAGAGTAAGGATCCCGGGTCATTGGAGAGCTAATTGTAAGTAGCGCAAAGCTTACGTCAAACTCGGAATCCCACCTTTTAAACCTAGAATAAAAGGGTGATTTCGCTACGACTGCCCTGTTCTTGCAGAGACTGTAATTGTGAGCACTTGGGGGAAAAGACAGATAGTTCTCAACAAACAACCACAACGAGGTTACGTTGTGATGACTTAAGTCGGATCGGTCGAAGGACCTTGTTTGTGGCAGTTGTTAAGTGAATGCAGCAGTTGTAAAACCAACTGCATGGTCACGTGACCGCAGGATGCTAAAAGTGACTGCAAATGGAGCCATATTGCTGAGTACTCCAAACACGGTCATGTGATCAGAGGATAGTGACTGTCACAACTTTTTCCAGGAAAGTTGTAACTTCAAACAGTCGTTAAGCAGCAGGGCGTATGTCGAGGTCTACCTGTACTGCAGTGTTTCTCAACCTTGGCAACTTTAATGCGTGTGGACTTCAACTCCCAGAATTCCTCAGTCGGCCATGTTGGCTAGAGAATTCTGGGAGTTGAAGCCCAAATATGGTCAGCTGAGGAATTCTGGAAGTTGAAGCCCAAATATGGTCAGCTGAGGAATTCTGGGAGTTGAAGTCCAAGCCTCCGAAAATTATTGTGTGAAAAATAATTGTGTGATACCCAACCCAAACACTAAATGTGTTTGCATTACATTTGCATAACCATTTTTGGGGAATTCACGAATTCTTTCAGCATATCTGGAGGGTATCAGAATAGAAAATCTCTTTCTTGGCCAGAACTAAACCTGAGTTTGCTTCCAATAAAAGATTTTCATATTTTAAAAAGAGTGTTTTCTTTCTTTTTTTCTTCTCTTAACTCGTCCTTGCACTGTTTTACAGTTGGCCAAAAATGCTGGCTGTCTTCTGCTCCACATCTTTCTTGCAAAGCGTTATCGTTAAAAAGGTGAAGGATTTTTGATAAAAAAAAAAATCTTTTCATCCTAGGGCAGTGCTGGCGAACCTTTTAGAGACCAAGTGCCCAAAAACTGGCCCCGCCCCGCTCCACCCCCTGCCCCGCCCCACCCCGCCTGCCCGCAGGGCCACTCACCGCCTCCAGGGCCCGCCACAGATCACCCAGGCAGCCCAGCAGCGCCATGACGGCCACGCCCTCTGCCCGTGCCCCGCAGCATCAACTGTGCAGGATGGGGCGTGAGGGCAGAGTCTTGTCTACGCTGCCTGGCTGCCATGTCCTTGGCTGCGCTCCGGTGGCTTTCTTCCAGGGGGGCTGCTGGAGAGGGGGTCGTGGGGGGAGACGAGGCTGGGGCAACTGCACGTGTGCCCACAGAGAGGGCTCCGAGTGCTGCCGCTGGCACGCGTGCCATAGGTTTGCCACTGTTCTAGGGAGTCCTCAGAGACCAGAACATCCATTGCTAAGCAAGATGGTTGTTAAATGAGTTTTGCCTCTTTTTACGACCTCGTTTTTCCGCCATGGATCCTACATGGTAGCTGGAGACCATCAAAACTGACACCAGCCAGAGCAGAGAAAAACTCTGCTAGTCCTCGCCTTAGCAACAGTTCGTTTAGTGACGAAAGCTACAAAGGCGCCTAAAAATGACTTAGGACCGTTTTTCACACTTACGACCATTGCAGCATCCTCAGGGTCACATGATCAAAATTCAGACGCTTGGCAACTGACTCATATTTATGACGGTCGCAGCGTCCTGGTGTCACGCGATCCTCTTCTGCGATCTTCTGACAAGCAAAGTCAATGGGGGAAGCCAGATTCACTTAACAACCATGTTACTGAGGTAACTAACAATTGCAATGGTTCACTTAACAACTGTGGCAGGAAAAGTCATAAAAAGGGGACACAAAATTCACTTAACCACTGTCTCACTTAGCAACAGAAATGTTGGGGTCATCTGTAATGTCAGATCACGCCAAGAGACGTGGAGAGGCCTGGTCCATAGAATCGCCAAGAGTCAGACACAACAAATAAACACCATCATTCTCAGATTTGAGTTGACTCTTGTTAAATCTAGCTGCCCAGATGTTTTATTACACCCCAAAATTGAACGTGGACACAGACCCTCCTGCCCTCATCCTGGTTTCTTGATAGAGGCGACAGACAAGGTTTTGCAAAACCAGCATCTTTATTATTTCGACCGAACGAAACCCAGTTGAGGCGAAACCACAATGGAGACTTCTCAAAGTTGGCACAGAGAAAAGGCAATGAGGCACGTGCGAAAGGCCCCACATCATCAAGGTAGATTCGGACACGCAGTTACATCTTGGTTAGCCGCAAGACGTTGAGGCGCACAGGAAGAAACGTGGCACTGGAGGCATATTGGATCTCTTGGAGAACCCCTTCCCATTTCTTGCCCTCTTCGTCATACCTGGAAAAGCCACACACCTTTGTTACGGGATGAACGGACCTTGGATGACCACATTGGTTGAGATGCAAGAAGATTTTTTTTAAAAAAAAATCAAAATACTGCCCGTAGGGAAGGTGTTAAATTACTGAGGTTGTAGTCATAGAAGAGAAAGTTTGAAGGTTGGGGTTGAACTGGGGTGGGGGACAATCTTTGATGCTCTCTGCAACTTGGGGTTTTTTCTTGCAGATGTTTCATGGCCTAAGTAGGGAACCTCATCAGTTTTAGAGGGGTGGGGTTTCCTGGGTGGAGGAGGGGGACTGTGGGGTCCTTGGTGCTCTCTGCGCTTGGGGGGGGGGTGTTCTTTCGGACGTTTCAAGGCCCAACTAGATTATATCATCAGTGCTAGAGGGGTTTGTGTGGAAGAGGAGAAGGGGACTGTTGGGGTCTTGTTGCTGTCTGACCTTGGTGATTTCCTTGCAGATGTTTTGTGACCCAACTAGGTTACATCAGCAGTGCTGATGAATCTCCTTCTCTTGTAGCACTGATGAGATTCCCTAGTTGGGTCATGAAATGTCTGCAAGAAAACCTCAAAGCTCAGAGAGAACCAAGGACCCCACAGTCCTCCCCCTCCTCTTCCTCCTCCTCCTCCTCCTCCTCCTCCTCCTCCCTTCTAGCCCTGACAAAGTTACTTAGTTGGGTCATGAAACATCTGCAAGAAAACCACCAAACTCAGAGAGCACCAAGGACCCCACAGTCCTCCTCCTCTCCCTCCCCTCCTCCTCCTCCTTCTCTTGATGATGTTACCTAGTTGGGCATGAAACGTCTGCAAGAAAACCCCCAAGTTTAGAGAGCAGCGAGGATCCCTATTTAAGTTGTTTATACAAGTAGTCTTAAAGTTACCACTGCAATGGAGCTTGCCCGCTGTGTTCATAAGACTTAACCAATGTTTTTTGTGGTGGTCACTACACAAAATAGATAGATAGATAGATAGATAGATAGATAGATAGATAGATAGATAGATAGATAGATAGATAGATAGATAGATAGATAGATAGATAGATAGATGATAGATAGATAGATGATAGATAGATAGATAGATAGATAGATAGATAGATAGATAGATAGATAGATAGATAGATAGATAGATAGATAGATAGATAGATAGATAGATAGATAGATAATCATAAAACAAATACCATGGTCATTACATGAATGCCACGGCTGATAAATGAAGTCATGGTTTGCTATGGCACAAACCTGGAAAAAAGTCCTGGTTTTCGGCAAAACCATAGTAAACACAGTCACATGACCAGAGGAGGCTGCAAGCCACCCTATATGCAGCCATATTGTTGGGCTCCTAAAGTGCAGTCATGTGACCACAGGGAAGGGTGACCATCAGAACTTCTGATCCTGGTTTAAGATATTTTTGTCAGATATTTGTTATTTTTGTCGCTAAGCAAGCAGTTGTAAGTCAAGGACTACTTGTACTTGTCTATCTATCTATATCATATCTATATCATTATATCTATATCTATATCTATATCTATCTATCTATCTATCTATCTATCTATCTATCTATCTATCTATCTATATCATTTATCCATCATTATCTATCTATCTATCTATTTATCTATCTATATCATTATCATCTATCTATCTATCTATCTATCTATCTATCTATCTATCTATCTATCTATCTATCTATATCATATATATCATCCATCATTATCTATCTATCTTATCTATCTATCTATCTAATCATCATTTATATCATCTATCTATCTATCTATCTATATCATCTATATGTATCATCTATCCATCATTATCTATATCATTATCTATCTATCTATCTATCTATCTATCTATCTATCTATCTATCTATCTATCTATCTATCTATATCATTATCATCTATATCTATCATCTATCCATCATTATCTATCTATCTATCTATCTATCTATCTATCTATCTATCTATCTATCTATCTATCTATCTATCTATCTATCTATCTCTATATATCATCTATATCTATTCATCATGGTCTGTCTGTCTCTATCCATCCATCATTATCTGTCTGTCTATATCTGTATCTAGTATCATCCATAGTTATCTATCCGTCTATCATCTATCCATCTATTCATCTTTCTATCTATTCCATTTTTACATTTTTCTTTCACTTTGCATTTCTGTTTCTTTACTTTTCATATAAGGGAGGGGAATATTCAAGGCTTCTCACCTCCAGACGTCGTTCAGTTCGGTGGGAACCAGTTCTCCTGATTCGCTCTCGACGGTGGCAAAGCCGCCAATTAAATAGAGGGTGCCAGCGAGGCTGATGAGGCTGACGGAGCTGCGTTCTTGGGGGAAGTCAACAAAAGGTTCCCATCTATCGAGGTGCAAAAGAGAAAAGACACCCATTTTTTTTTTAAAAAAAGGAGCCTCCAACTCAAATCATTCTGAAGGCCTCATGAGGACTAGCTCCTTAGCTTGCGTGCAATGACATTCATGCCATTTGACATCAGTCAAAAATGTTATGTATTTATTATTGTAGGGGAGGCAATTCTGAAGACCTTGTCCTGTAAAAACTACCTAGGAATTGTGTGTCAGCCCTCCTATATAAATACAACAAAATGAACTAATTCTACTTATTCTACGGCAACATTAAGAGAATCTTGCACGTCTGAAGGCACAAACTTCCAGCTGCCCCTTTTAACTGCTTGATGCATTCGGGCGTCTCTTTCCTGATTTTTTTTTCCAACTAGTCGTGGTTAAACAACTAAGGGCTCCTGACTCTCTTATCTAACATTTATTTTCTACAAGGGGAAAGTGCTTCCTTTCCTGGCACATAGAAAGTGGGAGATGGTGAGTTCTAGTCCCACGTTAGGCATGAAAGTTGGCTGGGTGACTTTGGGCCAATCACCAGGAGACGGTGAGTTCTAGTGCCGCCTTAGGTAGGAAAGCCAGCTGGGTGACTTTGGGCCAATCACCAGGAATTGGTGAGTTCTAGTCCCGCCTTAGGTATGAAAGCCAGCTGGACGACTTTGGGCCAATCACTAGGAGACGGGGAGTTCTAGTCCCGCCTTAGGTATGAAAGCCAGCTGGGTGACTTTGGGCCAATCACCAGGAGTTGGTGAGTTCTAGTCCCGCCTTAGGTAAGAAAGCCAGCTGGATGACTTTGGGCCAATCACCAGGAGACGGTGAGTTCTTCACGGTGGAATCCATCCTTTCGGTCAGCCCACTGAAACCCGGTTAGTGGTCCTCAACCACTCAAGATCAGGGCGGAATCCATACTTAGCCAGCTGGGTGACTTTGGGCCAATCACCAGGAGACGGGGAGTTCTAGTCCCGCCTTAGGTATGAAAGCCAGCTGGGTGACTTTGGGCCAATCACCAGGAGATGGGGAGTTCTAGTCCCGCCTTAGGTATGAAAGCCAGCTGGGTGACTTTGGGCCAATCACCAGGAGATGGGGAGTTCTAGTCCCGCCTTAGGTATGAAAGCCAGCTGGGTGACTTTGGGCCAATCACCAGGAGACGGGGAGTTCTAGTCCCGCCTTAGGTATGAAAGCCAGCTGGATGACTTTGGGCCAGTCACCAGGAGACGGGGAGTTCTAGTCTTGCCCTAACCACGAGAGCCAGCTGGATGACTTTGGGCCAGTCTTTTTCTCTCAGCCCAGGCCCACCACAAAAGGTTGTTGTGTGGAAAATAGGAGGAGGAAGGTATGTTGGATCTGTTCACTGCCTTGAGTTATTTGTAAAAATAATAAAAGGCCTGTTATAAAGAAATGAAATGAATAATAAACAATGCAATTGCACGAAAAACAAATTGCAGATTGATTCACAGGCCCTTCCAAATTAGGCCTTCGGGACACTGTGCAGCCTGAGGTCCCACTTACTTATCCGTTGCAATATCGTAAACTTCCACCGAACTGGTCAAACCAGAATCGGTCACTCCTGCTGCCACGTAAATTTTGCCGTTGTGGACGGTGATCCCGAAGAGAGAACGGGCGATTTTCATAGGTGACTGTTCCTTCCATTCAAATTTCTTGGGGTTATACACTGTCAAAGCACTCAGACATTTTCTGCAGCAGAAAAGGAGGGAAAAAAATAGGTTTGCAAAGCATGAACTAAATTATTGTTGGTATTGTTGTTATCTTTATTATTATCTTTATTATTATCTTTATTGTACAGGTAGTCCTCGACTTACGACCACAATTTAGCCCAAAGTTTCTGTTGCCTGAGCAAAACAGTTGTTAAGTGACTTTTGCCCCATTTTACAACCTTTCTTGCCACAGTTGTTAAGTGAATCACCACAGCTGTTAAGTTAGCAACATAGTTGTTAACTGAATGTGGCTTCCCCATTGACTTTGCTTGTCAGCTGGTCGCAAAAGGGGATCACGTGATCCCGGGACACTGCGACCGTCATAAATATGAATCAGTTGCCAAGCGTCTAAATATGGATCACGTGTCCATCACATGACCACCTGCAATGGTCATAAGTGTAAAAAACGGTCATAAGTCACTTTTTGCAGGGACAATAATAATGTACTCTCACACGGGGGGACACACACTAGATCTAATTTTTGTCTCTGGCCAGTGGCAGAATGATCTGGAAATGGGGGAGGTAGTTGTTGAACCCCTGTCATGGTCAGATCATTCACTCCTCAGGATGGACTTCCGGACCGCTCCCCCCCGCCGCAGGGAGGAGGAACCGCCTAGATGGTTCCGCCCCAGGCGCCTGATGGACCC